AAGAAAGAAGAAACATAATCCTACTTGGTCACTATAATGACTACTCAAATCATATTCATATATGTCTCTCTAGTCCTACTTAGACAAGGAGACACCCGAGAGTATAAATACAAGACCCTCTACAAGGAGGGGGACGTGTGAAGACACGCCGATACATATATAGACAGGACAAGCCCAGACAAGGCATATATGATCCATAGGCGCCACAGAGGCCGGTGAAGTGGGATCTAGGGCAAATTCCAATCTCGCTGAGCTCCTGTTCGAGGAAGCTGACAACAGCTATCCATCGACCACCTACTCGAGCTTCATGTCATCAGGCTGACAGAGATTAGATTAGGTTACCCTCAATATTGTACTGGTGAGATATTGATATACAAAGGTAACACCGACTTCTGCCAACAGTATCAGTATGCTATATCTGTTAGTTATGGGGGTGAATCAGTATAAAAATCCATGTATCAAGTCTCTTTTACCGCAATCTTGTATATACCCTGGCACCAACGTTTCCCATACTCTATAAATACCGTAGACGTATATAGACCCTCGACACAAGTATTTTTGAGGGAGCAAACAATAATCAAGATAGTGACCTTTTTAATTAGTTTATAGAGTAAAAATTCGATCGGTCCTTGAATTGGACCAAATGTCACTTAGATATGTAATCTTGTAAATTGCTCATCTAGTTTCCTAATCTAGGTTTAATATATTACAGTTGGTATAAATCGCTTTTAACTAGGCACGACTACATATGCGGTTGTCCACGGTGGCTGAAACTTTACATTTATGCTCTCCTGTAGAAACCATCACAACGAATTTGCTTATAGTCCCTCCCCCATATAGTAGTTGTCATTGGGGATATAAGTGGGACGAGCAAGCATGTTTTTTTCTCGCTTATCCCCATTCTAGTTAATTTTTCTTTCATACTTTGTCCGGAGTACTACCATATTAGAAATTAACTATTGAGCAGGCTTTTATGTGGGTAGCGGGATTGTCCACTTGCATCTTACTGATAATTTATACTTTGTGAGATACACTTAATTAGTTTTGGGGATAGATAGTATATGGATGTAAACTAACAAAAACGAGTGGTCTTACTTCGACTGCTTAGTCTTTTTTTTTTGGCGCACTCATCCATTAAAGAAGGATGAAAGAGATGGCTATGTGACGTAGTTGCAACTCTAGAATGCTCCGATGTGAGTTCTAGGTGTGACCGTGTGACTAGCTTGCATGTTTCGCAATCGAACAGGGAGTTCGGATTTGTTGTAATACTCGTGACCAAAAAACCATGAGAAAACCTTTAAAATTTTATCCATCAGATTTGCTTTGAGATTTGTGTATGTATGGGATGAAGAAATAAAAATCAAATGCACTCGTGGGGGATTAGGGTTCGATGGCGAATTTTTGGTTGACGGATTAGCTTTGAGATTCGTACATACATTGGATGGGGGAATAAAAATCAAACGCGCTCATGGAGTCTGCGGTTTTCAGAACCCAATGTGGGGTTATTATCATGTAGTATGTCTTCACCATACTATGGGTTTTTAAAATTATAGTGTAACTACAAGTTAGTGATGTTTAAAAGTTTTTTAAGTAGACCCCTACAAAGTTACAACAATTAATTTGTTATCTCCAATTCAAGTGACCCTAGTATTATTCTGATCGGGCCCGACATGGCAGCAGCAGTCATGGTCATGGCCCCCTTTTTTTGCAATTGCCATGCCCTAGTTGTTACTCCTTGTTTGCTATATATACATGCTATGACTATCCATGCAAATATATCTTGCATGAGTGATGAGTTCCCGTCAGGTCGTATGCTACAACTTCGTTTTACTCATCCACTCGTACGTAACCATGTGTTAGGAGAAAGATTCTTTGCATCTGCTACACAAGTTTCTTGCAACTAAAACACGTGAAACGTACAAAGGAGGAGAAAATAACATTTGGTTCCCCCACTGTACAAGATCTGTACGAATACTGTTATCGTCATTGTTCTTTGCGTTCATGTCTCCCATCCCACGCGACACATATACTTTGCCTAGGCCTGTTTATATCCCACACAAAAAATTTTACATCTATCACATCGAACGTTTAAACAACTGTATAAAGTATTAAATATAGGCTAAAAAATAACTAATTATATATATTATGACTAATTTGCGAGACGAATCTTTTGAACCTAATTGCTACATGATTTGACAATGTGGTGCTACAATAAACCGTTGCTAATGATGAATTAATTTGGCTTAATAAATTCGTTAAATTTGTCTCCCAATTTATATGCGGATTCTGTAATTTGTTTTGTTATTAGAATACGTTTAATACTTTAAATATGTGTCTGTATATTTGATGTAATACGGTAATTTTTACCCCTAAATCTAAACACAGCCTTATTCAAAGCCATCATCTAGTTGTTCTCTTGCCAGAGACTGACGGTACGTTCGTTGGTATACGTACTCGTTTCCTGCAACGACCGAGATGCGGATTGGAGTAGGTGAGATGACTCGCATATTCTAAAACCCTCCCGTTTAAGTTAATGAATGGATCGATCAGAGTAGTACTATTTAAATCGTCGATTAGATTCCATAAATCTTTTAAAGAATTGAAGGACTTTTGCATCAAGTCAAACCAACAGGCACGCAGAGACAGACAGTAACATGAGTCTCTTACAGGTCACAGTGGCGTTGTGGACGGAGGATTATAAAAGGCTTGGACTACGTTTGCAAGTTGCTGCTGCTCTGATCGTTGGATGCGTGGCTTAGCTAGTTGGTTAATCGCCTCCCCCAGATTTGGCAGATTTCATAATTGTTTAATGCTCCAATTCCTATCTGACCATCATGCATCTCGGCTGAAAATTTTAATTAGGGCGAAAGTGTCCTGTATCATGTGGCGTTTGTTCCTTTGTGCATCTTCAGCGTTGTGATTTTGACTTTCGTCTTGGCACTTTCCTGCAAGTTTAGCTTCAGTTGTCAAAGCATCTACCGAATATAGTGACATGCTTCCTACCACCATAAATGCAGTACTAGCTCTAATCTCTCCTTTTCTATCTCGATCTTTACCTAGCTAGCTGAGATAAAAATGTTGCAATCGTCGCGGGCTAACTGTTAAAAATCTCTCTCATGGAGTAGTATTATTTGAGCTTGATTGCTTGTTTGAACTCAACATCAAAATTATTGGCTGATAACAGTGTGGTCTGTATTAGTATATATCAAAGGACAGAGCACTGTATTCTTATGTGTTTCGTCCAGTTTTGGGTTTTTCTCGGTACATATCGTAATCGTTCATAGTAGTATGGACGTATGTGGCTCAATCAAAGTAATCATTATGACGTCTCTATGAAAGCGTAGCATCCTTTTGGAAGTTGTTTGCCTAAAATTAACTGAGTATGACATATATTATTATCCTCATAAACCTAATGATTTCAATTGTTAACGACAAGTCTAAGGTTATTGTTTTTTGGAGAGATAATGTTACTTTGTTAGCAGCTTTAATATTGCACATGCAGCTAGATATTGCGTAAACAAAACAAAAAAAAAGGAGAGATTTCACACCAGGGAAAAAAAATTCGCGAACGCACACCAGGGAAAATTTCAAACGTCGTTCTAATAAATGGATCTCAAATGAGACAAATTAATGTCACTCTTTTGCAACAACAACTTTTCTTTCTTTTCTTTTTCCTTTCCTTTTTGCGAGTAATAAGAAAGGCAGTGATTGATGCTCATGGGGTGTGGCTTTTCATACGTGGAACGAGTCACATTTTTGCAGCTCGATCGGAGAGGAGATATATACCACACGTCATGTCATACTGTCATCTATTCTGTAGATGCCGTGGCGACTATAATTAAGAGCAAGTTAAATAGTATAGCCAACTATGAGCTCCAATTCATCTATAGTTAATCTAATAGCTTATTCATACAATAGTTACATACTACATTATTAATACCTGGTCCCATCTGTCATTCACACACTATGTCTTATAGTCCGTGCTACAGCTGGCTACAAATCTATAGCCCGTTATCCTTCTCTCTCCTCATTTATCTTCTTAAAATATATTTGCAGCTGGCTTATAGCCTACTATTATGCCTGCTCTGAGCACCTCTATTTATTTAGTCCAAAGTGTTGATACAGTAGTACAGTAGATCTCAACTCCCTTCCGTACCGAACAAGGACTTTTTTTTTGGTTTGGACTTAATATATTTCGCCCTTTAATTCCTAAGGTGGAGTAGATGCTACACGCATAGATATTTCTGATTCTAGTTATAGTAAACATTTGTTCGGTCAATAAAACATCCATTTATTTTCTACAGAAAAACTAGTACGTAGTGACTGATGTCTACGTACGTGATGTAATTAAATTACCGGCGTTAGCGTGGCCCGATCGATCGATCGATCGATCGATCAATAATGCGCGACGCGACACGATGAGTTTACGCGAGACCAGCGACCGATCGATCGATGGATGGAGCGAGCGCGTGCGGGGTGTTACACCGAAATTAAACATGGCAAGATCGAGCGAGAAGTACGAGTCGCGAGCGAGTTAGGAAGGGGTACGTCGCGGTTGGACCCCGACCAGGGACCGACCAGCGGCAGGACGTCGCCGTCCCCCGGCTGGACCGGCCTTTCCGAGACAAAAAGCAGGTGCGCACCCACCAAAACCTCCCACGCACATCTGCCGCGCACGCTACCCCCTCTCTCTCGCCTTAAATGCTTCCCCCGCCCCCGCCCAGCCCCGCGCCGGCCGCCGTCCGTCCGCCCGCGCGCGGGACACGTCCCTACTCCCTAACCCAGATCCCCGATTCGGCACGCACGTAGTACACTCGTGAGTCGTCGTGACCCCAAGCCGCATGCTTCCCGATCGATCGATCCAACACGCGCGCGGCTGCGGATTCACGTACACATCGCGCGCCGCGCGCGCGCGCGCCACCGCGGTTTCAGACGCCCGCGCACACGCCGCGCGCGGTTACAGCGTTTCGTTCGTTGATACGAGTAGTTTATTGTGAGAGGTTGTGGTTAGCTAGCTCGAGGCGCGGACGCGGTGTTATGGGCGTTGCCGTGCACTGGCGGAGGGCGGGCGATTCGCTTCACATGGGGGGCGAGCCGCGCGCGCGCGCGGAGGCGGCCTGGGCGGCTGCGTTGCCTGCCGCGTTGGTTGCGCTGGTGCGCGACACGGCTACATACACACGGTAGGGGTGCACCGCCACCGCCACGGCCACTGTGCCCGCGGGTGCTTTTTCTTGAGGCTGGCACCGGTGCACGAGTTGTGTGTGATGACGTGTTCGATTGGATATACATTATATTCACACACCTCAGGCCGGGCTGGCTTTGACCTGCTCAGAAATCCGTGACGAAAGCGGGCATAACTATCCTTGTACCCACGCAGAGCTCACCTATTTTGACAAATAGCAGAGATCAGTTTCCTTGTACGGACTCGCTCACTGTTCGTGCTTCGTTTCGTTGTTTTTTTAGGGGTGTTTGTGGAGCGGGAGCTGGACACACAGCGCTACTACGCTACGACCCCTCGCTGAACATTAAATAGAATTTCAGGGTTTTCTCCACGCGAAATCCCTGTCCCAAAACAGTGGTAGCACGTACCACCATGCACTTCAAACACAACAGCAAAAATGGCCTTTGGGCTTGGGGTGGTATGCGTATGATGCACTTTTGCATGATTGCCCACCCGAGCTCTAAATTTTTTTGCTGAGAGCGAGGAATAGTAGCAGACCAAACGGTCTTAGGTCTCCTGTCATTGTGATCCCTTTTCATGATTAGATTTCCTGTACTTTCTCCTCCTGTTGCAGGGAAAAGGAAAACGATGAAGAGACTGGAGAGGGGAAGAAGAAGAAGAGAACACCACCTCCCGTTTCCCGATGCCCCCCCTGACGCGCAGAATGATGCACCGTCTCCGAATGGAAACGCCACGGGGCCCCACCTGCCAGCTTGACCCCTGCTGCTGCTGCTGCACTGCACATGTTATTCCCCCTCCGCCTCCGGTGTCACGCACGCACGCGACGCGACGCGATGCCGAGGCGTCCGTACCACCACCGCCAGCATCAGCGGCCGTCAGCTCGAGATCGGACGGCACGGGACAGATGGCAGCAGGCGTCACGCTGGCGTGTGCCGCCCCCCCGCCGCTAAGGGCCCCACGTGCCAGCGATGGAGGCAGGCGCCGTGGGGTGGTCAAAGGGGGCGCGGGGACGGACACGTGTCGGTCGCCGCAACGTCTGAATGTTCGACCGGTGCGCGGCGGTTTGACCCACGTGACCGGCTACCGCCGGTGCACGCCGCTGACTCAGCGCACCCGTGACCGTGGACCGTGTTCCCACACACACACCCCCACCGTTTACTGTAGCGGTTGCAATTATCAGTACGGCCACCTACAGGGGCTAATCACTGTTCTGACAGTCTCGCCGAGATCTAAGCAAGGGATTATTTTGAGATTAGAAGAAGGAAGAAAAACCAAACAAGCTAAGCCAAGGAGTGGGCGTCTCATTTGGGGCATAAATAATCAACTTGTTCCTCTCAAAAAAAGCTGAAATCAATTTAATCGAAAAGCAAACCAAAAGTGTGAGAGAAAAAAAAATCCTCTCACCCAACCATCCTCTCCTCCATCCCTCTATCTATCTATATCCATCTCTCTCCCTTGCCTCATCACCCTAGTTATAGCTAAGCTAATAGCCTCTCACACCTCTCGCTCTCTCACTACCCCTCCACTACCATACTAGTAGCATCCATAAATCCCTTGGCTCTTGCACGCTTGCTTCCTCCTCTGTCCATCTCCATCTCGATCCTGGAAGCGCGAGAGAGAGAGGGTGCGTGCGTGCGTGCGTGCTAGAGCCAAGAACCACGAGCACGGCCAGCGTCGGCGAGAGGCGGCGGTGGATCCGGCTATGTCGGGCGAGTACCAGTTCCAGGACGAGCTGGCGCCGCTGTTCGCGCGGCCGGGGGGCGGCGCGGGGGAGATGCAGATGCTGCCGTCGTCGTGGTTCGCCGACTACCTGCAGGCGGGGACGCCGATGCAGATGGACTACGACCTGATGTGCCGCGCGCTGGAGCTGCCGGTCGGGGAGGACGTCAAGAGGGAGGTCGGGGTGGTGGACGTCGTCGCGGCCGGCGGCGGCGGGGCGCCGCCGCTGACGCCGAACACGACGTCGTCGATGTCGACGTCGTCGAGCGAGGGGGTTGGTGGAGGAGGTGGAGGCGGCGCCGGCGCCGGCGCCGGGGAGGAGGAGTCGCCGGCAAGGTGCAAGAAGGAGGAGGATGAGAACAAAGAGGAAGGCAAGGGAGAAGAAGATGAAGGACACAAGAACAAGAAAGGGTGAGTTAGGTCACTTCACCATTAAATTCTCTCCTTTTTTTCTCCTTTTTTCCCTTGAAATCTTGGGTCATTTTGCCAAGTTCTTGATCTTAGTTGCTAATAATTCATTAGGATGAGATCATTTAGAGCTTCTTTTTTTTGCTGATCCGGTATCAAGATTTGGGGCCGGTTTTCTGTGGGCTAGATTTTGCTTCCTTGCTTTGCTTGGTGGTCATTCTTTCTTTCTTCCATTCATTCATTCATTCATTCATTCTTCTATTCCTCCTCTTTTTGTTCTTTTATTCCTTTTTAAGGTAGTTTGGCAAACGTGTGAACATATCTAGGGTTTCACACTCAGCTTGCATGCCTCACACACTTTCTTCCAAAAAATTTAAAACCTTGCCATAATGTTTTATTAAAATAAGTCGTTTAATGTATCAGCTAGCCCCTCTGATCTTTGTTTTGCTTTTCTTGATTACCTGCCTGCTACTGCTAGTTCCTTCATTCTTCACACCTTCTTCCAAGTTCCAACATGACCAAAGATCTTTGTAACTTTTGTCTTTGATCCCCTTTTACCAAAGATTATGCCCAAAAAGGGTAGATAGGAATAAAAGAAAAGCAAAGTAGATTGATCCCTAGACAATAAGCATGCCAGTGTTATCCACCACCCCATTCTGCTACTTGGATCTTGCCAGCAGCTTCCTTTTCAGTGCAATCTCCAGCTACCAACAGTAGAATCCAGTGTGAGCCGAAAAGGGGACGCCATCACGAGAAAGCTAGGCCAGTGCCACTGTGCCAGACAGGGTGTGAACCCCCTAACCTTGTGTACACACACGCTCGCGTAGTCGCGTGTGTCTATCCAGTTTGAACGGGATCGATCCCGGCCGTGGCCGTCGCTTGCCGGACGACATACGAAATTCCGCCGCTTTTGACGCGGAGAAACGTACCGATCGATCGCGAGCTGATTGGTAATATGGTATGGATTGGATGGGTGCAGGTCGGCGGCGAAGGGAGGGAAGGCGGGGAAGGGGGAGAAGCGGGCGAGGCAGCCGCGGTTCGCGTTCATGACCAAGAGCGAGGTCGACCACCTCGAGGACGGCTACCGGTGGCGCAAGTACGGCCAGAAGGCCGTCAAGAACAGCCCATACCCCAGGTACGTATGTACAGTTACACACACGTATAGTACGTGACTCGTAGCTGTGCGCGTGTACGTGTACCGGCCGCAGTAGTTGCACCGGACGCGCGCGCGCGCGGCAGAATGCGATGATTGCAATGATCTGATATATACGGGGTTGATTTTTTTGCAGGAGCTACTACAGGTGCACGACGCAGAAGTGCCCGGTGAAGAAGCGGGTGGAGCGGTCGTACCAGGACCCGGCGGTGGTGATCACCACGTACGAGGGCAAGCACACGCACCCCATCCCGGCCACGCTCCGCGGCAGCACGCACCTGCTCGCCGCGCACGCGCAGGCGGCCGCGGCGGCGGCGGCCGCGCACCAGCTGCACCACCACCACGGCCACCACGGACACCACGGCATGGCGCCGCCGTTGCCGCTGGGCTCCGGCGCCGCCGCGCAGTTCGGCCGGTCGTCCGGCATCGACGTGCTGAGCAGCTTCCTGCCGCGCGCCGCCGCCGCCCACCACGGCATGACTACGATGGGCGGCGCCGCGGCGACGACGACGACGAGCCATGGCCTTAACAGTGCAATCAGCGGCGGAGGCGGCGTCTCGAGCGAGACGACGAGCGCGGTCACCGTCGCCGCCTCGGCTCAGCCGTCGTCACCGGCGGCGCTCCAGATGCAGCACTTCATGGCGCAAGACTTGGGCCTCCTGCAGGACATGCTGCTGCCGTCCTTCATCCACGGCACCAACCAGCCTTGACGCGACGACCACCATCAATCTGAAGCTGAATTAATCATCAGACTAGCTAGACAAGAGGTCATTTGGCTCTCGATCGATCATGCTGTTTAATTAATTAACATCTCGTTACATCTTTTTCCCCCCAAATGATCACCTTCTGTTTCGTTTCTTGATTTTGTTTTTTTCTTTCGTGCTGCGAGATGGTACAGGGTTTTCTACTGGGTCTCGTATCATTTCTATGCTCTTACTAGCTAGCTCTACCTAGCTCTAGTACTAAGCACTTCTTGTACATGTAAGCGCCTAATTAATTCCCAGGCTCCAGCATTGCACCCTGCAGGTTGCAGGACTGACCATACGAGCCATGATAATTTTATGCAAACTTTACATTGATCTTCTCCTATATAGCTCCATTAATGGAAGAGTACGAGTACTTCATATATATGCACATATGTTTAATTGGCATGTTGTTAATTAACTCTAGCTAGCTAGACCAATCGAGCTAAGGTTTCTTGCAGGGTGGTCAATCATGAATGAATTGAATTTTGAATGGCGTTGATTAGTTTCTCTGATACTGGCTTTCGCTTGTCATGACGGGATGATGATTAATTGGGGGTTCGTTGTTTCGTTTGGTTGGTAGGAAGAGTTGTTAAGGAAGAAAAGTAGCGAGGGTTGTTTTGCTGCTTGTTTCTTTGCGAGTACTGGTCAGGTCGTTCCAAGGCTAGTACTAGTACCACTACTACTAGCATTACGACTGATGCATAGTGATGTAAACCTGCCTAGCTAGCGACCGTGCATCGCTGTGTGCATGTCATTGTGCGTGTATGTGATTGATATGTGGAATTAAGAGCTTTGGGGCCTGATTAGCTAGCTTGTGCATGTTTGCTTACATTTATATATGGGTTCTAAGTATCAGAGATAATCATGCATTATATATATTCATGGGTGTCGCAGTCATGCATGTTTGTCAGAATTATGGCAAAGAGATGATCGATGCACCTAATCTCTAACTCTAAAACGTGGCTGCTGAGGCGTTAGGGGTTTTGGACCCCTCTGCCTCTTACAGTGCATTGATGATGTGACTCATGTACTAACAAAGGTAGTAGATCTAAAAGCAAGTCAATTAATGTGTCTAACTGGTTTGCTATTTCGTCGGCTACCTGATTGACAATTTCCAGAATTTGGTTCCATGCGAGATCGATCAAGGGGCCAGCGTGTGTATAGACTGGTCATACACATCCAGCTGCATGAAATATAAAAGATGTAGTACAGTATTTGTTTTATTTGGGTGTACATGCATGGAGTAGGTCAGTTAGATATGATGACACATGACATTTCAGTGGAAATGGACATCCTTTTTTTTAATTTTGTTTTTCCTTTCCAATGCTAAGCTAGCTATCCCCAATATTATTAACTATATATACGTATATTGTATATGCCTTCAACAAGGAAAATCATATATATATTTTTCATGCTTTCTATTTATAATTTGCTCAATTCATGTATGTGCTATGAACATGTGGTGCCAGGCTGCTAGCTAGTAGCTAGGAGTACATGCTGATAACCGGCACATATATTTGCGTGTGAGCCACGTGTAAATTAATGGAAGAGACTAGATATATAGTCTTGCATCCTTATATGTGCCAGCTGATTTAATCTACATATAAGGATATTGGCACACACACACATATATATATATATATATGTGTGTATATATATATATATATATATTCACACGCAATTAATTTACACGTGTAAACCAATTTGAAATGTTTGATTATCAAGTTGGTTTGTACGAGTAAGAAGTCAAACATTTCAACTGGTTACAGAATTACGTACTGTGTCCAGCCAGATTAATTACACAAGTACATGATCTCAAACCCAAGGATTTTTGGAGTATCTAATTCCCTAGCTAGATAAGAACTGGCTAAAAACAATTGTAGCTTTTACTTTGAAACACATGTGACAGAAATGTCCTTTCTTTAATTAAAGGCTCGGAACCGAGAGAAAAATATATACTACACTTTGGGCGAGTGGTGACCATATCCCGTTAATTCTGGTAAGGCAAAATCTTCTTGTACTGTGCATGCGATTGTACTTTAGAGACTTAGATTCATCATCTGCAGAGGGGCATGCATACATGCAAGCATTATCTCACTTGCTTGATGCCATATTGTTTAATTTACTACTAATAGCAGTTTAGTCAACAAGGAGTAGCCAAGGACACCTCTGGACCATATGTATATATACTAATCGATCCAAGATAACTAGATTCATGGTCATGGACGCAACTTTGAAAGGAGAAAAACAAAATCTTGTGCAGCTTTTAACCAACAGCAGATTCTCACGGCCTCATTCAATTGGCAGGTACGTACCCTCAATCTTGTACTACCAGAGGGTGCCCAATTGCATCTCTTCAATTTGGAGCTATATTTATATGTGAGATCGTGCATGCGATATACTCACTATTCTCTTCATTATGATCAGCTGATGGTTGTTGCGTGAGTAAGAAAGATATCGATATATGCTTGGACTGTTACACATGTCTACCTAGCTTGTGGCTGGTAGATTTTGTTTTCTTTGTGCCTTTTCCAGCCTTAGCTTGCTGAATTTTCCTATAGTACTATTTTACATGTGATGGGCACAAGTGGATGGATCAATCATGCAGTATATGTAATTTAATTTTGACTATAACCTTTTGTGTTGGGATATTAGAATTATTACGCATATATGGCCAAATCCTGATAGGCATCAGAGAACCAGACAACATACTAGAAGGTCAAAAGCATTAAAGGCCACAGCGCAAGGTGTGCACCAACTCACCGAACGTTTATTTTTCCCCGGCACAAAAGACAAATACGGCGTAGACTCGTGTTCAAAGTCCAACCCTGAATATACATGTAAGTCAATAAAGATACAGCCGAAAATACTACTATATAAAAGCGTATAATGCTAGTTCACTGGCCGGAGAAATTAAGTTACAATACATTTTCTTTACGGGGAACACACCCTTTGTTGTTTAGTTCATCAAATACAAAAATCCGTATATAATTAATACAGTAACGTTCATTAATATGAAATATACTGTGGTTTTTACATACTACTTCTTGATAATGTTTAATGTGTTAACTAATCGTACTTACGCATGATGCATTATGCATGCGCAGATCTCTTTGACTGACTGGTTAAATTAGCTTATTGGAGCCCTGGGCTTGCAAGCTGCCACTGCATACATCAGCTCAATAGTGTGTTTCTAGATTAAGTCCAAGATATTTAATTTATTTCCAGGTTAGCTTAATAAGATCATCTGAACAAGGCTTAACACGGATAGCAGCAACCGTCGCATCGATAATTAATTGGGCTGCTTAGCACCAACAAACTAGATAGCTATCGTTCCATGCCTTTGAACACAAGTGATATGATCCAGGTCAAGCCCACCGTTATAACTCCGCAATGGCCACTCCCATGCAAACGTCCAAATACTTTGGCCTGCTAGATGCCGATACACATCAAAGGTTAGGGAGGACTAGCTTGCAGTTGACAAAGAAATTTGACCGGTCGGTCAGGCTGATGAAATGACCGGTCTCACAATGACACAAAGATAGGGAGAAAAAGATTGTGGCTCCTATCAGGTGGCATAATCAGCTAAAGTAAAAGCCAAATTTTAAATTTTCAAATTTAATTTTAAGATTGATTTTTAAATATTTTTAACTTAATTTCTTTTTCAGCATTGGTTTTTAAGTCACCAAGAATACATATATAAAATTTTTATCTACAAATTTATTTTTATTTTCTAATAGGGAAAAAAGCCAAACGAATAATTAGTACTGGTACTGTAACGTGTGAAGACATACATGATGTGCATATATCACTTGTAAGAACGTTTTTTTTCCCGACGGTTCTATATCATCCCTGACGGCAGAGCTTTGCTCCGCTGAGAGAAAGTACTCCCGGTAATTTCCTGGTGATTTTCATGCCCTGTCAGGAAAAAGTTGGGTCCACTCGGGTGCAGTAGCTGCACTTGCTGCATAGCCAATCCGTGCAGTACCAACTGTTTCCTCGTGCATCACTTGCGGCTAACGTTGGCTGTGCTGCAGTGCAGCCAGTGCAACCGAGCATTGCAGAGACCTCTGTGCTGTTGCCTTATGCTATTTGTAGTGATACCAAGTATTCTATCCGTACTAAAATATAAGTATTTTTAGTATAGTGACAAGTCAAACATTTTTAACTTTGATTATTAATAGAAAAAAATTAAAAAAGATTAACCATGTAAAAGTGTTGTTACTAGATTTATCATTAAATAAACTATCATAGTATAAAACTCATTTTATTTAAAACATTTAATTTTTATAGATATTATTGATCAAAATAGCATCTCGGAAACCATGTTTAGAGTCTAAAAATGTTTATATTTGGTACTAAGGAAGTAGTATATATGTGGATCTTGCCATCGTATCATGTATCACAAACTCACGTGAAACCTCTATTTCGTTCATGAATACTTGTCGATTATCGCATCTTGTGACTTCATATGTATACAAGCATACAAAAATTGGGAGCAAATACTATGAAGCATTTTTTTTTGGGGGGGGGGGGGGGTTGGGGGGGGGGGGAGTGCGATCACCTTGGATAATGGATAGGAGCAAAGTAGTGGTAGTATGATAGTATCAACTAGGCAATCACGCGTCGTTCAAAAACTAAATTATCCCCAATAGAGCTGCTACTAGTAGTAGTAGTACTAGCATATAAATCCTTCTTTTTCACCAAAAGAAACATTTTTGTATATAATTGTCACCGTCACGTTGCGAGCTAGCCATACGTATATATCGTCCGTGTCCCCTCCGGCCGGTTCCATAAATAGATGCAGGTACGACAAGACAGGGTGCATTAATCAAACGACGGTGTTCGAAGGAAGCTGGATCCCCAAGCCATCTGCGAAAGCGACGCCCATCGATCGTTCGTTCATCGATGAGGCGATGATGCATCCATGATATATGCTCTCTCTCTCTCTCTCTCTCTCTCTCTCTCTCTCTCTTGCCAGGGCCTGGACGGACGGAAAGGATGATGGTGAATGGAATGGAAGGCTTTGGCTTCAGCTATAGTTCTAGCCTTCAGAACTACTTAAAGTGGACAAACCTTATTGCAATATATCGCCATGCCACTTGCTAGCTATAGCTAGTAGCGACGATTGAAGAAAGGTTGGCTTGGCTGGCGTCTCTCTCTGTAGCCGCCGTACCATCGTCCCGGGGCTTAATTGCGAGAGGCCGTGCGATTGCTCCGTCACAACAGTAGCCAAAAAAGAGAAGGGAAAAAAAAGAAGATAAAGAACCTCGAAAGCGAAAAGGGAAAAAGAGAGAGAGAGAAAGAGAAGATGAGACACCGAACTTTAAAAGGCGATGCAGTTGTCGGCGTCGTACGGCGACGGCGAGAAGGAAGAAGCAA